CTTTTTTCCAAAACATTTTTCTTCATTAATGAAATATTATCCATATTGGAATTTATACAAAGAGAAATAATTTATTTTACATCTAGCATAATACACAAAAAATCTACATATATTTCTTACATATTTGAAACAAATCAAATAAATGGTATTACAATACATACACACACACACACACACACACACATATATATATATGTATGTATGTATAATGTTCGCGATATTTTATCATTGTTCTTCACAGATCTTTATAAAATCTATATATATAATGTGTAAATAAGATCGTATAAATAATTGTACGAGAGTGTATGACATATATTAAATATACTTTAATCTCTATTGTATACGTTTCCGCTTTTTCGGTGAGACAATTTTCAGCATACTGACCACCGGTGCTTCAAAAGCGATTGACACTATAAATGACAATGCGTACGACAGCGATAGCTGCCCCAGAAATGTTATCATCTGAAAAATAAAGTGTTTTATGACAATCCGCTGTTAATCATTGATCATACAATTTTTTTCTTAGCTGCAGACTTACCATTATGTCCTTGCCTAAGTGTAACGGAGAGTCTAGATTCATAGCGGTTAGACGAATCACAAGCGGATGAACTAGATAGGAGCAGTAAGTCACTCTGCTGAACGGATATAAGAGCGGCCACGATAGAATCTTATTTACGTATCCTGAAACAGTACTGATTTAATATTTCAGTGTAGTTCATACAAATTGATCAGTCTAATATTTATTATAGTTAATCCGCTGATTGATCAACAAATATGTATTTAAATACGAAGCGCCTTACCGATCCGAGTATTAAGATGTTGAACTACTATATAATATACATTCATTTAAATTAAATTAATTTTCAGAAATAATTTTTCAGAAATATGTATTTATTTCTCACCGCCGTAGCCAGTACTACATGCTATTACGATCCACGCTAAGCCTAGCGCCCACGCGCTGTGACTCAAAGATGAATACGCAGCTCCAGTGACTGGTGTAAGCTCTGTCTCATATAGACCATAAAGCAAACTTAAGAGACACGCAGAAGACAAGAGCCATCCAACAACGACGGTAGTCTAGAAATGATAATGTCTAAAATCTTTTCTAAGTAATAGAAACTAAGTTTATAATTTTGCATTAAGGAAGAATGTTCAGGCAATACAAGGGTCATAAAGACCTAAAAGATATAATCATAATCTTTCACAGTTTTTAAATTGTTTTAGACATGTTCGTTGAATTTATTTTCTCTCGGAAACAACATACCTTAGACATTTTCACTTTACAATCAGTCTTAAAGAGAAAGTAGCCGACACTCATGCCGATCAGATAAGGACCTAATCTTGTCCACGGTTTATCGTAGATTTTGTCGAAGAGGGCCAACGGATCGTCCATGCTCGGCATATGATTATTAACTAAAGCGATATAGCCAGTAGTTATCCATGAGCTTACTAACAAACCAACTAACGCGGAAGCTGCGATTTTGAAGTGATTCGTAGCCAGTATCAAAATCACTCCACCCACAATATAGAACTGTGTATCGTCCGCCAAATACCAGCTCCAGAGCATACACTGTAATATTACAATGTAAACTTACATCTTTGTTTGATGGAGATAAAATAAGATTAGCAAATCTCTAAAAAAAGATCAATTAAAAAAGACTAATATAGAGATCAAATTAAAATTAGAAAGATAAATAGCATGAAATTAAAATTCTATATCATATAATTATTTTTATAAAATATTGCATTATAAAAATAATTATGCAGCCAACATCCGAAAGTATAAAGAATTATGAATTCTGTAATAGCGAATAAATAAAAAAAAACACACCATTTGATCGACGGGAAACCAAGTATTAATATAGAGCAAATTTCTCCACCAATAATTGGGACAGTTATAGTGATCTGCTGTAGGAGGCTCAAAAACGGAATTTGTGTAGAAATACTTCATCGAGATCTCTACTACACCCAGAATAAACATATACGGCGTGGTGAGCCTACAAAATCGATAGACAAGGAGCCCAATAAATTTTAGGGTGCCTGCGGCGAAGCCTCGCGTGCCCTGCGTGAGTCTCTTTAGATCTCCCTTGGCATTGGTTCTGAAATACAGAAAGCTCACGAGCAAACCGCCCATGAAGAAAAATGTATCAACGCTGAAAGCGCCGTTTGTGATGGTCTGGAAGAGGAATCGCTTCTCTACCACTTTGCGATACTCCATGTTATCCGAATACTTAAAAACGATAATGCATGTATGCCCAAGAATGACCCAGGCCATCGATATCGCTCGGAGTCCGTGAACAGTGCTAATTGTATCACTGCCAACATTACGGTCGCAGATAATCTTCACATTAGCAGGAACGGAGAAAGAAAGTAGAAGTTCTTCAAAAATACCTGCAAAAATAATAAAAAAGTTGAAAGGTACGTTATATCGCAACGGATATACTAATTAAAAAGAACAAAATTGTATCACGTATATAATTTATATAATTTTAATCTGAATAAAAAAAGGAATAATCTTATAATTATTAATTTCCGTTCTATCTTTCTGCTTTGATTTAATCATTTAATTTTTATGATTGAAATTAGAAAAAAGAATACTTTGAATATGGATATGTTATAACATATAAGTGTAAGTTTATTATTTAAGTAATTCTTTTTATATCTTTATTTTTAATTAATTAATTTAGTAAATTAATTGTATATTAATTGTATTAAATTAAATCAATACAAATTAAAAACAGACGAAGAAAAATTTAGTCTTGCTTATAATTTTATACAGAATAAATGTTAAATTTTGAAGTTTTCGTAAATTATTATAGATTTCTTAGAAATATACATTTTAATTTTAGTTTGTCCTTTATGATATTTCTCGGAATATTTCTACATTTAATGAATAAGACAATTTAACATACTAAGATGTTGCTCTTCTTTGGTAGACGGTTGCAAACCATTCTCGAGACCATTGTTATTATTGATCGACTGCACACCATTGCTATTAGAATCTGCCACTGGAACAGGAAGGTAGACTTCACCTTGAACGGCTACGGAATATAATATATCATGTGACTTTTAATACCGTCCTTGTCTTGTCTGGTCTGTAAGTCGTGCATTATTAATTTGTATTTCTATGGTATGAGATATCTATTACTATGTTAATTGTTTTTTTTTTAAATTGTAATATTTCTAAAAGAATTACTATAGTATGAATTAGTATAATAATAACAATGATTTTTCTCAAAGTAGTTATTATATTACTGAAACCAAAACTACATTTTGTCTCGTGCATTTATAATTCTATAATTCTATAATTTTCAGTTTACATAATCTTTTAGATTTCTCGTATTTTTTTCTACTTACATGATTTCTTATTTTTCCGGAATAGATGTCTCTTTAAAAATTAGTTTCCAAGATTAAAACCTAACGATTTTAATTCTATGTATGTATATTAATAATAAAATCTTGTTTATTTAATTTAAAAAATTCATCTTTCTTTAATAAATTTTAATTTAAAATATTTAAAAATTCATAAAGAAATATTTAATATAAAAAGACTGAAGATCAAATTTTTAAAAGAACAATTAAAAAAATAATTTTAAATTGATTAAAGAATCTATACACAAAAAATGCATGAACGCTCTATAATATTTCTTTATAAGGAGCAAGAATTTTCATTATTTTAATATATTTATACTACCTCGTTCCAAATGATACAAGTAATAGTAAATGATTAACATGATTAATAGGTGATCAAAAAATTCTTAGACATGAATATTGACTTTTTACCGTTTATGACCTTCCGATCGCCATTAGTAAGATGATCGAGTTTTCCATGTTTCTCCAAATCATAGATTACATTGCTCTTACAGACTGCTTTTTTCGATAGATAATAATCGTATCCGGTGCCAAGAATCATCAATATTAGAACCACCATACTGACACCGCTAAAATGTATTAAATTCTAATTTTTGCATCTTGTTGCTTGCTTGTGTATATTTAATCAACAAAATATATCAATACTTATCTTTTAATATATAACAATGTTAATAAAGGCCATATATAAATTATATTACATAAATTTTATATATTTTTGTCTTTGCAAAATATGACTTGTTTTTTGTGATAATCAAATAGTCAAATGCAAGTAATTGTAAATAGCTAAGAATGTTATTTTCATAAACTTACGATAGAACCCAGAAAACTGGATCTGTGTACATATTGTATGAAATATGCTGGTCTCTGACTTTTTCAATCGTCGAATGCTTCGCTGCAAATTCGCTTGCGGCGAGTTTCCCGATCACGGCGACGTCAGAAGCAGTGCATGAGAACGGCAGACAAACGCCCAAGTGAATCAGTTTTGTCTAACGAGACA